CATTCTTCTGTCATCATGACTGCTGCCATGTTAACCGCGTTTTTTCCTGCCATGGCTCGCAAGGCCAGCTTCTCCCGAAGTCATCCAGACTGTGGATAAGCGAACATCAAGGCCAGATGTTCCTGAAGGTCTTGAGATCTAGAGGGAGTTCTCGACAGCTTTCCCCCCCGAAGCCTGAAGGGGAATCCCTCCAATCAGACTCCAATCTCCTTCTCCTCATCCTCATAAGGCCAATTTTGAGAAAGCCCCAAAAGGAGGGCTCCTTCTTGGGAAATCAGTGGGGGTTGTTGTCTGGGAAAGGGGCCTATCAAGGTTCTGAGAAGCCAGCAAGTACTTACGCCCATGTCCTTCCACATGACATTCACTGCTGTTGTGAAAAGTTTCATGGCTGGAGGCTCGCTGCATGGCTTGCCCATTTGACAGCGAAGGTCTAAACCCCAAACCCCAAACTCCAAAGCTGAAACCCAGACCCTGAACCTCAAGCCCTAAGCTGAGAACTCTAAGCATCCAACCCTAGCGGCCCTGGCTGTTGCCACCCTTGCACCTGCCGCAGGCCTTCCGCTCAGGAACCTGTCCGCACTGGGGAGGACAGGGCAAGGCAGGGCGGGTCAGAAATTTCTGAGATGCTAAAAGTCCCCTAGACGGCGCTATTCCCCTTTGCAAAGACCCCTCCCCAACAGGTACTCAGAATTTTGAGACCTGCCACATGCTCAGTCTCCTTGAATGTGGCTTTTTTCTTGGCTGAGATTTAGGTATGGGCATGTTAAAGTAGGCATAGCTTCGGAGAAAAGAACGGAAGTCGAGACTTGGATTCCTATCTCTTCTAAGAGACTTCTTGTCGAAATCATGGATAAAGATTGAACTGAGGCAGCATTCTTCTGTCATCATGACTGCTGTCATGTTAACCACGTTTTTCCTGCCATGGCTCGCAAGGCCAGCTTCTCCCGAAGTCATCCAGACTGTGGATAAGCGAACATCAAGGCCAGATGTTCCTGAAGGTCCTGAGATCGAGGGGTTCGCAACGATTCCCCGACAGGATTCTGAAAAGGAAACTCCTCCAATCTTCTCTTCTTCATCCTGCCTCATATCTTTAATTTTTTGGGAAAACTCCCAGAGGGAGGGCTCCTTCTTGGGAAATCCGTCAGGTTCCGTGAGGGTTATTCAAGGGCTTGAGGTTTGGTGCTTTGGGCAGAGATAGGGATTCTTGGCTTCAGCCACCATGTCTGGGAAAGGGGCCTCTCGAGAAGCCAGCAAGTACTTGCACCGACATCTTTCCTTGAGCCAGGCCCTGCTTTGGAAGGGAGCTTCCGTTGCGCCTTGTCACCCGGGCAGTCTGAAGTAGCCTCCAACATGGCAATCAATCACAGCAGTAGAGGGCTGGAGGACATCTGCATTACTCCCAATATCTCGCAATTTCGGGGGGAAACTCCCCCATGTAGTCCTCTCAGCTTACTTGGGCCCAGCATTTCCCTATTCCTTACCCAGTAGCCTCGACGTCTTTGTGCAAATCGAGGGAGGATTTAGATTTGCTCCTCCTGTCACTGCCATTATAGGAACCTAAGCCCTAGACCCCCGGTTTCAGTTTCATGTTCCATTACAGTTCCATATGACTTTCGACTCCTAAACCCACTAGTAATTATGCGATTGCGCCCTTGAATTCCCTTTCTGAAGCAAGTATGCAGGTAACCTTCTCAGCTGAACATCTGAAACCAAACACTCGCAGCAGTCTCGCCTAGAACCGAAGCATGATACCCCTCAAGGTAAAGCATCAGTCCGGGTAACACCATGCCATGTTCTGTTTCTGGAGTGGTTCTGGGATTATGGGTCCTTACTCGGGAGTGCAAGAATGGGGGCCACATTATTTCAGGTGTATGCAAGAGGCCATTAATTTGAGAACTACCGTTCTAAATTCCCATCACGCAGGTCGCCAGCAGAAGCCGATCCCCAGCAGCCGTCGCAGATGCTTGAGCTCCTGGTCCTGCAGAGTTCTAGGGCCTGGGGCTGGGGCATTTGAATTATGGAATTTCGGGGTGTCTGGTCTGGATTTACTAGCGCAAAGTTCTGTAGGGGCAAAGGGCGTTTCGCTGCAGTTTCCATATTGAGCTCTGATCAAAATCTAGGACACCTGAATGATTCAACTACCTGTGTCCAGGCGCAGCCCAGTTTCGACATCAAGGCCCCAGCGGACGGTTTTCTGAGAAGCGTTCGGGGTGTGGGCTTCGGGCTGAGGTTGGGAATCAGGGCGTAGGGTTTCTCAAAACGTGGAGGTGCTGTGAAGGGTTCTGAGGATGGGGGGGTGCAAGGGGGTCGTCATTGTCGCGCTTCAGGATCGCATCTTTGAGACTACCCGTCCCCGGAATCGTACTGGGTGATGGAATAGTTGGAACTGCTTCAGGAAAGCAATGATGCTTGATGATTTATTGAGTTTCCGGTACGGATCCAGAAGGGCATTTGTCGTGGTGGAGGTGGTGGTCGCCACAATTGCCTGAGTCATGCTGAATCAAGATTTGCAATCCCTGCATTTGTGCATAGCCATACCCCGCAAATGGATAGACACAGCCACTATCACCATTGGCTTGCAACAGCAGCTTGGCAACTGAAAGATGTTGCCATTAAGGATACAGAAGCCCGAGCCAATGGGGATCCTAGTAAGTAGGTTAATAATGGGAATAATTAGGGCTACTATATGGGTTATAGTCGTTATAAGTATATACAGCAAGAATAAAAATTGCAAGATCTGGAAACGTGGAGATTAGTCCACTGACGCCCAAGAAGTGTCCAGGCGCCCTAGATACACAGAAGAAGTTGGTAGCTCGAGACGGGCAGCAGAAGTTTCCACAAACGCAACATCCTGTGCGCCACAACAGATGCACAAACGGAACGACAAACAGAAGTTGCAGAAGAGCTTACTTATTCAAGGCAAGCAGAGATGCCAACAGGAACGCAAGTTCAAATGTCCCAATGAAATGTTATGATGCTAATTGTTTGTACTCTATGTCTAAGAGTTTGACAACCTTACTAAACCGTTGCGGGCAACCGCTACTGTCATGTAAAGGGCATGGACCATTGCTCTGGTTCATGCGACCTTCTTTGCTTGCCGTTTCTCCACGAGCTGTTCAACATAGTTGTTGTCCTTCCCCGGTCAGCGAAGATGCTGCGAGTGTTCAGGCCTTCTGGCGAGGAGGTGCTTGCAATTCAGTTCGTGGAGTTCGTGGAGAGGGTGGGTATTGGCCAGCAGCCCATCCGGGCTTTGGACCTCAAGCGGCACTTGCAGGGTTTGTGTAGGCAGGTGCGGTTCCGGCAGCGGCTGCTGCTTCCAGATGGCCAGATCTTGTCAGACAATGCCACGCTGGACGGACCTATGGATGTTCAGCTGATTTTGCTTTCCATCGCTGAAGGCTCCGAAGAGCAAGTCCGCCAGCTCAGAGAAGCTGCAGTCCAAAATGACATGGCGGCTTTGGAGCAGCTCCTTCAAAGCCCCCTGGATCCTGACTTCAAGATAGGCTGTACCACAACGCCTTTGTTCAGTGCGGCTTCGCATGGCCGAGTTGAAGCGGTTCGCGTGCTGCTGGAAGCCAGAGCTGACAAGGACTCAGCCGCCGATGCTGGCATCACTCCAATCTTTGCAGCATCCTTCAACGGCCACATGGAAGTCGTCCGCCTGCTGCTGGAGGCCAAGGCTGACAAGAACAAGGCCGACAGGTATGGGACGAGGCCAATGACAGCAGCACGCCGGAATCGCCATATGGAAGTCTTCCGATTGCTGCAGGAATTCCAGGCGGACAAGGACAAGGCCAGCCCTCAGCAGCCTATGAGAGTGGGCACACAACCGATGCCAGCAAGAGGCTGTAATGACTGCAGCTGCATCACAGGGTGTCGTCTTGTTATCTTCAGAACACAGAGAGGCTAACTGCAGGCGGTCTCAAACACAGGCAAAAAGCTACAGGTTGCCGCTGCCTTCCTTGGCTGCAGGACGCATTGCACAATGAGTCCTGACTGTAAGGACCCCAAACGGGATTGCATATTCCCGACCTTCATTTGTTAAGAACCGCCATGTCCGAAAGACTTAGCCATGTCCTGGAGCCAATCAAAGAGTACCCCGTCTGTCCCATCATTGAGCTAGCCGTGGCATCCTTCTGTTTTACGGCACATCCTCCCCACGTTCGTTAAACGGGCTTCTTGCATTGACATATGTGAACATGGATGGCCTCAGCAGTCGCCCACAACAGAAAATCTATTCTAGAAAGAAGGCCCAATACAGATCACTTCTTCTTACAGACGTTCCATCAGGAGACCTTTAAGCTCTGGAAACGCGCCCATCCCTATGCACAACTATACGATCCCAGTTTCCACCTCATTTTCCATTGTCTTTTCCATTAGGTTCTTCATGATTGTGACCATATCCCTAATTCCTGGAACTCACCCCATTTTCTTTAGGCAGCAAGTTTGAATATCTGGAGGAAATTCCTCACCGCGGGTCTGTCAGGGAACGCTTTGCCCTAGCACTTAAGACTTAGTCACCTCCCCCTTGTGGTACATTATAACATATAGAGAATACCTGATATTAGGGAGGTGGGGGGCTTTAATATTGGGGGAGGGGAGTAATCTTCTTTCGTAATCACCCCCAATCCCTACCAACAAATACCATCATGCATTCAGGCAACAACCCTTATTCCAGATTCCCAGCCCGCAATCCTAAACCTTAAGCCCTCAGCCTGCAACCCTAAACCCTGCATGGGCGTTGTTTACCATCCTGCAACTGGATAAATTTGCTGGGACCCCCAGAACGGACCGTGCTGCTGAGTGCGACGCACGTGCCTAAACCCGGAACCCTAGCCATCTCAGTCCTTGCCAGGTTAGCCGACGAGGCGGAGGGGCTCGATTCGAGGCCCTAAGCGAAGAGAATGTTGTGGGTTCCCTTTACCACCCCTCCTATACTAGCCTGCCCCAATTATTAGCTTGTGTAGGGCTACCCAGGGGGAAACCTAGGGGATCACGTAAGGGGATATTGCTTTGAAATCCAGACCTGGAGGCAAAAGTATAGGGCCAGGATTGGGGGTTTTGGTGGGATCAGGCTGTTATATTGAGGTTATATAGGGGTTGTGTAGGGGCAATAAAAAGAAAATGGAAATTACTACATTATAAAAAGGTATAGATTGGGGTTACAAAGCATCCATGTTGCACACCAGGCCAGCAGCGCTACCCCTCCTGCTTTGCAATCCCTATATGGGGGTTTCCTAAAATTAGGGGCACCTTATTTGGGCACCCCCCCATAACAAGGACTATGCCATTTGGGGGAGTCTTTATCGGGGTCCCCCTAATTTGGGAAACTACCATCTATGCAACAAGCCTTGATTTCGACGGCCCACGCTTGATCTCCCGCACTTCCGCTACTGACCGGTCTGTAAGCCTGTCAAACACAAATTTTGAGCTTCCCAGATTCCCTGGACAAACAGGATGGGCATCGTGCAACCTGAAGCCCTACACCTCAAACCGAGACTCTGAGTGCTAGGTTTCTAACCAGATCCAACACACGAAGCTCTCAAATGAGGTTCTGTTTTCAAAGCCGTTATTCTACTCAGGGCGCGGGCTGGAAAAATTAGGTTTTGGGGGTTCGTGTAGGATCTTGCTCGAAATATCCATGCAGGCGTGTTGTGAAGTCACTGGTAGGCTCTACATTTCGGGACTTGCAGAATCCTGCTGCATTGCATGTTGGGGTATTGGGGGGATCACGTACTGAGGACGCAAGATCAGCTGCGAATCTCTAAACGCGTTCACTTTTCAGGGAGGCTTCAGGCCCAGATGGCTGTTGTAATCCTTGAAGGATCCAAGCTGCTACGGCTTTACACTCTGAGCGTTGACAACATTAGATAAGCTGAAGATAGCCTACAACAATCCCTTGTAGCAGCATGGGTCCAAGACCTTTCAGCTGCATGCAGTTGCCGTGGAGGTCGCCAGACAGATTGGAAGGTAGCCGACAGCTCCCGCAACCTTCGCAATTGCTGGAGTGCCTCGCCAGCTTGGAAGTAGATGGCAGTAGTACTGATACCGTTTTCATGGCCATGGTTGATGTTCGTTTCAGCCGTTTCAGCCAGCATCAACATGTGATTTTCTTGTCTTTGCTGTCATTTTCACGGAGATTGTTCCTGCTGTGTTCCTATTACTGTCAAGATGACGTTTCGCCTAGACCAGCGAGGACAAAAACATCTCCTGCATTCCTTGCCCTCCTGCTGCTTGCGCTGGTGATTTCTCGTTGCCCCGCTGAAACCAGTGCCAATCCTACAGTCATGCCCATCTTTCCAAATTTGCTTGATTTGGGCTATGTGGCCATGAAACTGTTACCTTGAAACTTGCCTCAGGCCTTGAAACATGGTGGGGGGGACAGGCTCCTAGGTGAAGGGCTTTAGGATCTTAAGGAGGCTTCCAAGAAGCTTGCTATCCGGCGATGGTGGCTGTTATGAGGAAGAGGCCACGCTCGCCCCAATGTAAACACAGTGATCAATATGAGTCTCTTCGCTTCATGTTCAGTCTATTTGCTGTTTTTTGTGGAGCACTACAAGTGCAGCTCAGGGGAGGGCGGGAGTTCAATTTCAAGAAAGGAACGGGTGAACTCGTATTGCAGCACCCCTGAGCCGCTGAGATTTTAGTGGCGTTGAGATGACCGAGATACCCTCGGTTCACCCAAAACAATTATCAGGCGGCTTACTATTATTGGATGATGGAATGGTAGCATGGTTCTGAATCTTGACAAGACCGTGCTTGCTACTACAACACTCTTATTCCCGCCTGTTTGTCGTATACGGCTTGCTGCCAGGGGCACGGATATTGGCTCATGTTTCGGCGACGATGGCAACCGTGCATCGGATTGCAGCATCTTTTGCAAGTCGTAGTCATGTGAGTTGTGCTCCACATGTCGTGCATTCGAGGCACAAGGCTATCCCAGGGTCGCCTTGAGGATGCCTCAGTTCAGTGAATCCTATGTCCTATTTTCTACAACAGCCCCAATTGAGCACAAGTATCTTGGTTCTGAATCACTTCCACTTCTTCCTCAACATCCCCAGAACCCGATGTTTTAGGTCTTTTGGGCTGCCTTTCATAAGCATGCTCAGCGCATTATGGGGGCGAAAAGGCAGATAGCCTACCCACATGTCCTTCACACAAGCTCAATGAAATCCAAGGCAGCTCCCCAAGAGCCCAACATCAGCTTGAATATGCAGCTGGCGTCCAGGTCCCCTGGGCCCACAGCGGACGGTTCCACAAAGCTACCCTCGCAACTCCTGGAGAGCCTTGCCTACCTTTGAAGGCAGAAGGTATGGTTGAGGAGGTTGTCCACTTCCTCCAGGGAAGTCTATGTACCCCAGTTCGGGTATGTACCTGTTTGACGTTTTCAGGATATGAGTTGAGGGTATTGCTATGAATGCTGTTGCCTCATGGTTACAGCTCTCGTGTCAGTGTTGTTGAGGCACGGTGCTAGATTTGCTTGGACAAGAGTGATTCAGACGGTGGTCATGGCTGCCGCTGCTTCAGTGTGTTGTTTGACTTCCTCTTGTTCTTCTTGCTCTTGTCGCTGTAACTGTTGCCGTTGCTGTTGCGGCCGCCGCCAGTGCTGCTGCTATTCATCCTGCAGCCGTTCCTGCTGCTACGGCTGCTGCCGCTGCTGCTCTTGATGCTACTTCCGCGCTGATGGCAATGGGTGGTGGTGCCATTAACGGTGATGGTGGTCGCAGATGTGTCAGTGCCATCTTTTGTGCTGTCACTGCTGGCGACAATGATGCTGATGTGCACACATCTTACCGTTGCACGAGTGGTGTAGCTAGCGGTTGGCAACACTGGCATGTGAGGTGGCTTGTGGCTATGATCACTTTTGGAATCATTGAAGCGAGGATTGTCTATAGAGCTGCTATAATGGCGCTTCTGATATAGTGCTCTTCTTGCGCTCTTCAGGTGCGAGGCGTTCCAGGGAAATGCGAGCTCCTTGTGGGTTGGATGTGGCAGAACGTGTCAAGAGATGTCAAGATGCGCAGAGGATTTTCAAGGATCAATTTCAACTGCACAGCAGCTGGAAAGGACCTGTCGAAGTTTTTTTGCCCCCAAGATTTTAAGCACCTAAGGCCCAGACACCAACAAGCGTTAGTGCAAGCCCCTTCTGAGGTAAGTTTGACCCTCAATTCAAGTTCCTATCAACCCTAACTCCAGCACAGTCACAGTCCTTTTCATTTCAACAAAAATTCGGTCTTACAGCCTTCCAGCTGGCGGGACAGGGTCTCCATACCTTTGGCCCAGGCCGAGCCGCGACACAATGACAAGGGCGAGGCCTGCATGAGCTGCTGGGGTCCAGTGCTTAGGGTATAGGGATTACCCTGAATATAGAGGTTATACAGGAATAATGGAAGCTTCTACATTATGATGGGAGATATAGGGGGTAGGTTTATGGCTTAGGGCTCAGGGTTGAAGCAAAAGTGTTTCAGGTGGGGGTTGCTTGGAGTCTCTGGTGGCCAAAGCACCCTCAAAACAGAGATTTCTCCCTTTGTACCTTTGTACGTCATATTTTGGATCTGAGTTGTGTTCATGGTAGGCAGTTGCTTTACATGGGATTCGCAGATGCACGGGCTTGGCCTTCTTAGCGCAGGTAGTGTAGGGTCGAGGAGCGCCGCGGGCTTGAGGAGTTTGAGGATTCCAGATCGCAGCCTTGAAGAATAGACGCACCTTGTGGCCGTGAGCTATAGTCTAAACTCTTTGAATGGGGGTTAGATAGGGATTAGTTAGAGGAGTATTATATGGCTTCGCCTCTTAGAACTGCAATGGAATCCCACTTGTGAATCTCTGTTGGGTAGTGTTCAGCGTGGGCCATAGTCAAATCATTCAGGCTCAAGTGGCAGCACTTGGGAAGGATTTGGGCCAATTGGTTGCAAGCTTCAGTGTTTGTGGTGGGGGATACTCACACAAAGGCGTCATAGGAAAAAGTCTCTCAGCTCGAGGGTTGCTATACAAATCATGCACTCAGGAGTGTAAGCGCAAGTTGAGAGCTTGCAGCTTGGGTCGACGATTTGCGAGCAACGGCTGAGCACTTTCTCTGAAAGTACCTGCGCACGTGCATGCATGCTGCGAGTTTTCAAAGCCTTGGTTGAGGAAGTGCTTGCAACTAAGTTCGCTGAGTTCATGAAGACAGTCGCCGCAGGCGAAGAGCTTCTCCCCAAGCGCCACCTGCAGGCTCTCTGCGGCCAGCCACGATTTCGACAGCGGCTGCTGCTTCCAGATGGCCAGATCTTGGCAGACGGATGCCGTGCTGAATGGACCAACAGAAACTGAGGAAGGCTGCAGTCGAGAATGATTTCTTTGAAATGGAGCAGCTCCTGCAGGGACCACAAGATCCCAACTTGGAAGCCCCTAGAACTCTTTTTGGACCCCAAACTCCTATCTTTCCTGCAGCCTCACGTGGCCACGTAGATGCGATTCGGCTGCTGCTGGAAACTTGTACGGACAAAGACTGGACCGAGATTTCCTCCGGTGCAACTCCGCTGTTGTGGGCGTGTTCGAACGGTCATGTGGAAGTAGCCCGCTTGCTGCTAGAGGCAAGAGCTGACAAGGACAACACTAATGCAGCAGGTGAAAGCCCAATATATAACCCCAATATACTATAGTATAACCCCTATATAACCCCAATGTATTATAGTATATATCAGGCTTCTTTGTTCGGCCGCGCGGAAGTTGTCCGATTGCTGCTAGAAGGGAAGGCTGACAAGGACTTGGCAAACAAGGATTAATTATTATTAGTTATTACTATTATTAATATTAATATTACTAATATTGATGTTATTCTTTCTATTTACCATTATTTATTACGATTATTATTATTATTATTGTTATTAATTATTACTATTTATGCTTTAAGTAGTTTCCATTTTCTTTTCCATTATCCCAATATTACCCCATTATAACCCCAACATACTATAGTAGTTTCCATTATATTTCCATTATATTATAACCCCAGTATAGTTACCCTATTATAATTCGAACAAACTCCGATGCTTGCTGCAACGAGACATGAGCACACAAAAGTCGTCCGGCTACTCCGAGATGCCAGTGGCGAGGTGGCGTTAGGTTTGGGACCACAAGACTGATTATTGTCGGCTGGTTTTCACAAGCAAGTAGCTCCCTGTTGCTGGACACGAAAAAATTTGGACAACGCATTAGAAAACATGTTTCTTCTATCTGAGAGCAAGTTGCGGAGTAGCGGGAGGGGTGGTTGGGATGTGGATCAAAAAATCAGACAAGGATCACGCAAATCAGGATATTCTGTTTCAGAGGAAATGAAAGAGAGATCCTATGTCAGGAATTAAGGAAGGAAGGATCAAAAAGTTCAAACCCTTCTGTTGAGAGGAGGGAAAATCCTGTCCCACAAAGGAAGGAAGTGAAAGGAAAGAAGGGGAAGGAAGAAAGGAGCAATCATCATATTCCATCATTGTGCCCAGAGCCTCTGCTTCAGGCCACGATCCTGGAGGCTTCGAACTTCGAAGCCCGCGAAAACCTCTGCTGTAATCAAAAGGTATCATGTCACCAGTAGGGGATAGTTATGCAGATCATTTCGTTTGCAAATAGAGTGGAGCTACGTCGCCCCCGCCACTTTGCAAGATCATGACAGGACTACAACCCCGGTTTCAAACATGAAGTGCTCTTCAACCAAGCCGGAACGCTGAGCCCGGATTCAATACACATCACGTAGTCCTTTCTATGAGGGGCCACGAAAAGGGGACCCAAGAATTCTCGGAAAAAAATCAGAAGGCCAAAGACACAACATAAAAATCGTCTTGCTCTTGAGCCTAGAGTCGCAGCGAGAGAAAGAAACGTCAAAGCAAACTCCAAACCAAAACTGAAAAACGCCTCGGCGTAAATGCCCCAAAAACCTAGGCCCTAGAGCCCCACCAACAACTTTCTTTCAGTCTTGTGAAGCGTCAGCTTCGCTGACTATGTGCCGCACGAATCCTTAAACCCTAGACCTTAAAACCCTGAGCCCTAAACCGAACCACAGGTCGCCATCTGGACTTCAAGCAGGCGGAGGAACCCTACAGCCTACACAAACACCCGTGTGCCTGGGCTCTGGAGTCGGTTTTGGGTTTAGGCGTAGAGGGCTTCAGGCATCCCACCCTAAGCTACCATATAGAACAGAGGGCTTGGATGGGATGCCAGAGTCTTAGAGGGTAATATAAGGATGATGAGCGAGATGATGAGGACTCAGAGTATATACTCCCCCAAATGGCAGTTTACCCTCGAAAGGGCAGCATACAGAGTAACGTTCATTTGAGAGGGTGCGTATGGGTTCCATGTCAGTTTGGGCAGGGAACACGCTCTTACTTTATATCCCTGTGGATATCTAGCTTTAGAGAAATGTAGTGCTGACTGGTGGGAGCTTCTGGCTATGGGCTAGTTTTATGTGGCACTAGCTGTCGATTCAAATCTTTCAGGAAGGGACCTCTCTGATTCAGCAAAGATTTTGGTAAACCGTCAACCCTGTAAACCATGTGATTTTATCCCTTAGCGGGGCAACATGTTGCCACATCGGGTCCGATTGTAGTGGTACAGTGGTACCTCAACGCGGCCCGTAATCTTGAGAAGAACCCAGCTGCGCACCCCTTACCAGAAAGGCCATATATCATCCATGCAGACGGCAACAATTCTAGCCCCATGTAGAGCGGGTCCTCTACAATCAAACTCTTGCTCATCAAAAGCAATCTCCCGGGAAATATGCTGGTGTTTAAGTCAGTGTCTCCTTTCATGGCTCTTCCAGGATTTTTAGGCGGGTTGTTAAAGATGAATTGGATCCATGTCTTGCAGTGGATATTTGTAGAAGTGTGATAGTTCTAGGATAGGTACTTTTCTAGGCCTTCTAAGACCATTCCCAGACAGTAGAATATCCTCATGCAAGAAGCATAGGAGTTCCACAGAGACCACTTCCTGAAAACTGGTGACCTTTTCGGATTTCAAAGAAAGAAAGAGCCTCCAGGCTCCCCAAGCTCTAAGCAGCGAAAGCCTGCAGCATGTCCCCAAATCCTTGCACCTTAACACATCAAAACCGAAAGCCCCCGACACGGTATGACTTCAGAAGGCGACCATTGCGACCAGCGGGAGAGGAAGAGGAGAGTCCGTTGAGGCTTTGGGCCTCTTGGAGGCTCAGGGTGTTGACTTGTGGCGCTTAGGGATCAACTGAGAGTTCCGGGGTCCGGGCTTCGGATTTGGGGTTCAGGGTTTGCAGGTTTACGGCAAGGATTGCGAAACGAGCCTGGTTCTTTGGAGGTGTCTTGGCAAAGCCACCGTCGAGCAAAGCGCTGTGGACCCAATGCAACTACAGCTCTGCGCTATTCCATTCTCATATCTTTGCATTTCAAGACCGAACAGCTATGTAAAGTGTCAGTTGAATAACTGCTTTTGGTTTCTTGACGGCTGCCATTCGGAGTACAGTGAGATTCGTTTGGTTCCTATCCTTCCCAAACTAAGATGAGAGAAACCCAAAAGGGGCACTACAAGCGCTACTGTTATTCTGAAAAAGACTTATAGGGATTACCAGGTTAGTTTGATTCCCACAGCTTGGCCAGTGTTGAATGGTACCTTGGAAGCCAAGACCCCCTAAAAAAATGGCTCATCTACAGCGGGGACTTCTGAAGATAGGCATGAGCGAGGTAGTTGCTCCGTGTCGTTTGAGGGTTGTTGGGATGGGTGTGGAAACCTGCAACAGTGGACGGCATGAGAAACTGACGTACTTGACTTTCATATCCTGAATTCCTCGCGACAATTTGCGACGGCTTTCGGAACAGTCTGCAGGCTGATTTTTCTTGCCCTTAGCCCATGCATACCCATGCAAAAAGCGTGGCTCGCAGGGACAAATGATTTTGAAAACCTACGGAGGGGAGATGGGTCTCGCATCTTGCGTCCTCGACACAGGGATCCTGGATTTTGGGCTTCACAAGGCGCCTCTAATGATGAAGTGCTCCCAATGTAGTATGCTTGAATTGCCCTGGGCAAGTGTGTTTCCTAGCTTCTGACAGAGCCATTGTCAGCATTCCAGTTGTTCATGTTGTGACCAACTCTTGCTGCCATCTGCTTATTACCACTATTTTCCTCGCGATGGATACTGCTACTGTTATTACTGTTCCTTCATTCCAGCTTTTCGCGTCTGATGTTTGGTCTTGCCGTTGCGATCTTACTCTGATCAAGAGGCAGGTTCCTTGAAAAACCTTTAAGCACATTGACTGGCATTCTTGTTGAACTTCTAGTTTCTAATCATTCAGAGGCTTCATGGCGCAACTTGTGCAATTCCTAATAATGCTGCTAACCATGCCATTTCAGCTATCAATCTGCTTGTTGTAAAGCCGTCAGCCTTGCATCAAAACGTAGCAATTGCAAAGCCCAAACTGTGCAAGCCCCAAGATCTCCAGCACAAAACTGCATTCGCTGGAAAGCTCTACAGTTCAAGCTACAAATCCGTCTTAGACTACCAGAATTGCCACGGCTGTGCAAGATTTCTAGTCTCAACAGCTTTCCCTTTGCAGGTATAAGTTGTAGTCGCCTTTTGGGAAAATGATGTGGTAGTTTCCCTACATTGGCGGACGCCAATATAGACCCCAAGACCTTCTAACCGTTATTTTGGGGACTGGGAAAAGGGGACCCCCAATTTTGGGAAACCTCCATATCTTAGTCACAGTGATTTCTTGCAGCGCAGGCCACCTGAAGGGACTACACCCGGCGATGCGCTGCAGCTTCTTTCGGAGTTGTTTGAGAATCTGGGCTAACAGGTAGTACGGTTCATAATTATTATAAATCAATCGCGCATGACCCTGGCAGCCTAAACCTAGGAATTATGAAGCCTAAACCTAGGAACTATGGCTGTTTGATATCATAAGATCCTGCAAGATTCTGAGTATCACCAGTGGTACTGCTGTTGACGGTGGCATTCTTGCAACATATGGGAGACTAGCTCTACAGAATTACTTCGTGTTTCGGAAAACACCGCCAAAAAAGCTCATCCTGAACATGGACCTGTTTCCTGGAGTCCCAAGGGTACCCGCATTTTGAGAGAGTTCTTATGCTGCTGACAATTAGCGGCTCAAAGAGGTGCAACGTTGGTTGAATGTCGCACGGATGTCAAAGGCTTATGTGCTGCTTATTTGGGGATAGGTAAGGTTATTTAGGGTACTGGAACAGGAAATAGGAATTTCTCTGCAATTCATATTGCATCGCTGGAGACTTTAGGTGAGACTTCTTCAACTGGAAATATCCTTAGGGACCAAATCCAGTAAAGAGAAGATTAAAATTGATTGGAGGAGTCCGTCTCATCATGTCCACAGACTCGCATAAAATTGCTAGCAAGGAGAAGCCCCATTTTCCCAGTGACTTCACTTGTAGGCGCATGCATGTCCCAGTCACAGTCAGTACTTCAATTTAGCCTGCAGAAGATCTGTCGCAGGTCAGTCGCAGGGGGTTGTTTGATATGGTGGGCGGCCCAATTGTGGTCCCGCTCTGAGTCCCACGTAGATTTCTGTGCTACTCTATCGCCTGTGAGGCAGTGCATCTTGCAATTTCTTTCTGCAAACATGGTCAATTTCAGCCAGGCCAAGGAGCCAAGAGCCCGCAATGCCATCCACCCTACACACGAATGGATTGAGCCCTTTCTTGGTTGCAGCATGAAGCGAATCATGAAGATCATGGTTTCTAGTATGTGAGCCCCATGTACAGAAAAACTCGTAGTCAGAGCGAACAAAGCAATAGGAATTGTTGTAAGCCCTAAGCCCAAGTGACGAATCTTAGTCCCAAAATTGAAGCCGCAACCTTTTTTTATTCTAAGCCACAAAGCCCGCAAGTGCGCCGCGTGAAGCAGGTCAGGGACTTTTGGCTTGGGAATTCTTGGTCAACACCTCATCCTTCAATCCAGGCCCTACATCCCAAACTCTAAAACCGTAAGTCCAAGCCCCAAGTCCTGTGAGCCCCCAGCAGCCCAGGACAAGCCATGGCCCAACGACAAGGCCGGGATGTCGGGGGCGGGACCAGCCCTTGGCAATTCGTATACTTCTGCTTTTGGATGCTCATTTCTAGGCTTGCAGTTCCCCCCTCCAGTAGGTAGAATGTAGAGGGTACAGGAAGTGAAATTCTTTGGGACTTCCTTCATTCAAGTGGCTTGCCATCAAGAAGGCAATGCGACTCATATGGAATCCTTATCAGCTGAGGACAAATCCTATGCATGCTTATACTCTATGCTTCAGTGCTATAGTCATGGCCGCATGTTCTGGTGATTGCCGTATTTGGCATAAATGGCTGCAGCCTTTGCCTGACCAAGTCATGAGTTGCAAAGCGATGTACCAAAGTCTTATGAGCGACAGAAGATTCATGCGCACGCATACAGCACACTATTTTCTGGACTTATAGCAAGAGAAGCTTGTTGGCTTGCAGTTCTGCTAGCGTTGTTGTCACCCGCATTCTTTCTATTCTATTCCTAGGCGAGCCGGGATGTTGCGAGTGTTCAAGGCTTCGGGTGAGGAAGTGCTTGCAACTCAGTTGGAAGACTTTGCCGAGATGATCGGCCTGCGCAACCAGCCGGTCCAGGTTATGGATCTCAAGCGCCACTTGCAAGGTCTCTGCAAGAGGCCACGGTTCCAGCAGCGGCTGCTGGACCCAGATGGCCAGATCCTGGCAGATGACGCTGTGCTAAGTGGACCCATGGATATGCAGCTGGTCCTACTCGCCTTCAGCCCAAGCTCTGACGATGAAGTGCGCCGATTCTATGGTGCCGCTTGCATGGGCGACATTCCGACAATAGAGGAGCTCCTGAACAGACCACAAGATCCGAACTTGATATCTGGGCACAAGGCTCCCTTGTTTTCTGCGGTTGTGTGCGGCTGCGTTGACGCTGTCCGTTTGCTGCTGGAAGCCTGCGCGGATAAGGACTGGGCCGATTCTCAGGGTGTCACTCCCATGCTTGCAGCATCCAGCTGCCGTCACGATCAAATCGTCCGTTTGCTGCTGGAGGCCAAGGCTGACAAGGACAAGACGAAGGGGAACGGAGAAACTCCGATGTTCGTAGCAGCTAAAACTGGCGCAGATGAAGTAGTGCAAATGCTGCTGGAGGCTAATGCAGACAAAGACAAGGGCAACGCCAGTGGCGAAACTCCGATGCTGGGGTGGCCTTTGGGACGTTGGGACACTTTTCGTTATTGGTGTCATGAGGGGCTTAGACTAATGTTTGTCAGAGGGCATCAAAGGCCAACCCAGGATATTCATAGCCTCGTTCATGGGTAACCTGGAAGTTGTCCGCATCCTGCTGGAAGCCAAAGCTGATGCAGAGAAGGCCACCAACACAGGATTCACTCCACTTTCACAGGCGCGGGTATCGCATTTAGGTTTTAGGATTTAGGATTTAGGGTTCAAGTGTAAGGCTTCAGGTTTTCCATATGGAAGAGTTCCTAAGCTGGATTGCTGTCGTTGTTACGACTTCAAGCTCAGCTGTGATTTCAAGGAAAACCATTATACTGTGTATCCATACAATGGTAACTTAATGTAACTTCCTTTAACAGTAACTCGCAAAGTAGTTCTCAACAGAGATCTTATCCTTGCCTTTTCACATTTACGTGCGAGGCGGAGCCAGAAATCCATCGAATGCTGCTGGATGCTGGTTGCAAGAGCCCCCCGGAAAAGTCTTTCATGGCACTGTTTGTCGCAGCCGCTTTCTGGCCAACAGGAGTTTGTTTTGAGTTTCTTCAGTAATCAGTACTGTTGAGTGCACATATCGTATAAAAGCTGCGTCTTTTTTGCATGGCTCCTAAAATGCTCCAAGGCATTTATGTCCTGGGCACAGTGGAAAGCCGAGAAAGTTTGCTGCCGGCGAGCGCGGCACTAGCAGATGTGACATTAGAGACAGAGGGAGGCGGACGGAGCGGGCCAGACTGAACCTATGCAAAACGGGGAAGAACAAGGAGGAGGGAGAGACATAGACAGGGGAGAGGTCATTGAGGACTGCCCTTTTCCTAAGGGCGTAGAGCTCAAGAAGTCACGCGCCTTTGCAAAACGAATGCGCAAATCTTGAACTTGAACACCTCGGAACTGGCCGGACCCAAAAACCGACCAATGACTCTGACAGCCTTGCATGTCTGAACGGTTGCGGAGAACCTCCCACGGCCCCGCGCTAAGAAGTTATCCTAAAAGAAGTTATCCTAAAGGTTGAAGGTGTGAGGTTTGGAGGCTTACAATCTATAACTTGGAGGGTTCAAGGTTTGAAATACTTGGCTTTCCTGAACTGTATTTGAAGCTGTTAGCTGGCACGCTGTGAAGGGAGCCCCATACACACAAACCTGGGCTAGCCAAAATCAATACCAGATTTCTTGTCGAATAAGCCTTGTATGGCTGTGGTAGGTTTGCAGCTGCACTGTACATGTTTCTACCGTTTATCACATAGAAGTGCCCAGGTTGTCTCCCAGTTTTTGTTTCTGGTCATTGCTTCTGAACAAGACCAGGGCCCAAATTCTCAGAGCTTCACGCTTGGGCCGCTCAGGTGTCGTGATGGTATGACTGAGTAGCATAATGCTTGAGAATTGCTTGTATGGTTTCACTTACACATCAAGTTCGTTGTTGGGGGTTTGTTTATGGGGACTTTTTTTGCAAAAAGATGCATGGTTGCGGACCTGGTGGTTTGTAATTCTGCGTATAGGGCAATCATTCTGCCTCAGCTTAGCCAAGACGATTGGATCCCTCCCCCCAGATTTGTGACTGAAATGACCCATGTCTCAAATCATACCCACCTACCCTTACACCTTTCATAAACTTCGCCACCCTTTTCCCGGAACATACGGTCCAATTCCCCAAACTTTTGAACGCTGAGTCCTTCTCCGATCAGGCAGGCGCCTGCCAGTGTTGCAAAACCCTCGTCTAGCCAAGAAGCTTGGCCCACCGCAGAAGGAGAAGTGAACTTCCTTGGGTCTGGGCCCTCAGCTTGGTTCTGAGGCCATATTCTGGGTATAGAGGGTATCCAAGAAGAATTGGACATGTTATGTCCATCGGCTACCCCTTTTCCCTTGCCCCTTGCCATGAGCGAAGGGATGTGTAGCCATTGCATGAGCTGTGGTTTTGAGACCCTTGAAAGTTAAAGGTAAACTCGGGGTATGTGGAAGCCTTGAAAGGTGCCTGGCTTGAGAGCGCAAGCTTGCCAACATGTCGAGGTTCTTGGCATGCGGTTGATGGAGTTATGGAGTGCGGGGTTTAGGATGAACGCTGCTGAGACCCTCAGTGTACTGGAAAGAAAATACAACCGATGCCGTCGACGATGACCTCAAGCCGAGAGGTTCATATGATAGAACACTAGCACCTGCACTTGCGTGTGGTAGCAAAGTCGTTATGGTCTCTCTCCTCGTTCGTGACAGTAGCAGCACAAGGCTGAGGAAATGGATGCCAATCACGCGAAAGACGTGCTCGTAGGCCCGTTGGCTACAACATGACCAGATGGGAAGTTCTCTAAATTTCGGAGAAACAAATGGCAGACATCGAAAAGTGCCATTTCTTCCTTGGTGACCTCAGAAGTGCCCCGTTTTCCGGAAACCTAAGTGCACGTGTTGTATTGGAGGAAGCCACAGGCCGAACCACAAGATATGCACAGTGAGGCCGTCCTTCCTCGAATCCCCATCATCGGACATGCTGGTGGAGCCCCTCAAGCTTTTTGGGCAGCAGCAAAGGTGGCATTTGCGAGAAGTAAGGGGTTCGCAGAATTTCGGGTCAAATGCCTCTCAGGGAGTTCTTATGGCAAGGGCTGCAAGTTTTTGGGCGATACAGGGGGACCTGCCGATGAAGAGTCCTCAGACCAAAGCCCGAGACACTGAAGCTTGCGTAGCGGTTGTTTGAACGCGGTGCCCCATCTCAGGAGCGCAACCCAATTACCACCTTGCCCCCCCCCCACCTTAAGTCTTGAAGCACCCAGCCCTAATCTAGCAAAACTAGCAAGGTTGGGAGGCAGCGAGCCTCCAGAGCAGGTCGTGGCGGAATCCAAGCAGGCCATGGGGTTCGGGTGGGGGTGAGGAAGGATTCGGATTTCTTTAAGGGTCCCGGTTTTGTAGCAGTTACTTTCCTTTGCATTACATGGAACATAGACTCTTGTGTTTGTTCCTTGGGAAGTGGACAATGTTTGTGCCGGGGAGGGAGAAGAGCTTGGTGGGGACTCTGAGGTTTAGGGGTTGGGGCCTATTCCTCCTCCACCTGACTACTTGGACCCAGCCGGTGCTAAAAAGGGTTGCTGAGGTCGACCTGAGGGTTTGCGGGTTCAGATTGTTAGCTGTTACAGGTTCAGGTGGGAGACACGGGCTTAGGGTCTGGGGTGTTCCGATTTTTAGCAGTTACAGATTCAGGTGGGAGTTTTTCCTTTGAGTTTGAGGGTTTGTCAGAAAAACATGAGGGAATTAAACCCCATTATAACTCGAGGAATGTCCATACTACCCATGTTCCTTGCATCATATAATCCCAGCAAAACCCCATTCCAAAGAGATAGGTCCCCCTGTGGCATCCTACTTGCAACCAGAAAATTCTCCCGAGTAAGTGGAGCCCAACCTCAACCTCACTCTGGAAATATGGTACGGAAGGCGTCCCTAATTTGAGAAACTCCCTGAACCTGGAAATTGTTCCTAGTCCGGCTATCCTTCAGGCTCAAGCAGAAAGATTCCCAATCAAGATCCCAACAGGACCTGGAGGATACGTCCCTCAAGGAAGGTTTTGCTGTGGCCAGTCAGACATGCGGGTCCTCCTCCCAAGTAGCCTTTGCAAGTCCAACTGCAGCATTGCATAGACAACTTTGACGAAGCGGGGGGGGGGGAACTTCATCCTAGGCCTTTCCATCTGTTGGGTTCTATGTACTGAAGGACTATTACAAACATCGAATGGCGGCTGCGCTTCCTTTTTTCGTGCAGGATTCCGCAGAAGGCTCACCGGACTTCGAGGACGATGGCACGATGCAACAATCACCTCCAGAGTTCAGTTAAGGGTCATGGGGAGAAGGGGTTCGGGCTGTCGGGTTCAGGATTACCACAGTAGAAGTCAACTGTCCGCTGTACGGTTTTCGTGTTTAGCCCACAGCCTGACATGGACTCCAACACGGGTATTTCTGGGTCTTTTGGGGGGGATGCCCTGCTTCTAAGAGCTCCCCAAGATTTCAGCTCAAGGAGCCCAGGCAGTCACCACGCTCGCCTGCCTCCGTGTCTGAGGTGTCCCCAGCGCTCGTGGCCCAAGCATTTGAGTTTGGGCTTGTTGTAGGCTTTGGCATGTAGACCTTAAAGTAAGGGTTCTAAGGCACACGATTTAGGTGCTTGGGGCTTCGGTTTGGAGATTGGGTTCAGGCCAAGACTCGCCTGTTATCACCCTAATCGGACATGTAATGTATTGATATTTATGTTTGGCAGGCCTACAAGGATTACATATATATATATGGCTTGTGTGCTTATATTTTTGCAACATGGGCCGCGTGCAGACCTGTGAATTCATCCTTGATGTGCTTGCCCTATTTTTGTTGTTACAAACTTTGCCAGCCCCTACCCATGAAATTGTGGGCTCAACTTCCGGAATGTGACAACTGAATGAATACTGCACATCCAGGCATACAAGGATTTTGGTTACCCCAACTTGAAAGTACGGACCTTACCATCTTCAGAGGACTGCCATAGATTCTAGGATTGGGACTACAAAATCGTCTTTCATCAGGCCTCTCCATCACTGCCTCCTTCCTTTTGCAAACTGTGCCGCCCCATGTTGCATTGTTACAGTTACACGCTCCTAGTGGGAGCAGTACTTGATATTAGAGGGTGTCATATTAGGACAGGGGAAAAGGCCCCAGGGTCAACGGCCAGGAGTCTAAGAAGGGCCTTACCTTAGATGCCAATCCGTACCCTTGTGGCTTGGGGTAGAAGCCCAAAAACTTGAAAATGGTAAGGTCTTGGGCACGGAATCTCGGATTTTGTTGTTTTCTGCTTAGGCACAGGGGGTGCTGAAGCAGCTGAGCCTGGGTGCCCCTGGGGTTTAGGGCTTAGGATAGCTGAGAATATTGTAGCTGAGCCGGGCCGAGTGTGAGCATCAGACAGTAAACCTTGAACTTGTGAAGCTCAAACCTCATAAACCCCTAAACCCTACATTTTGAATCCCAAACCTTATGTCCAATCCCAAATACTATGTCCTAAGTTCGAAATGCCCGGTGCAAGGTCTCCTTCAGCAGAGCTTCTCAGCGAAGCTGAGCAGCTCATGATGGCCAATCGTCTTAGTTTAGGGCTTGAGGTTTGGGGTCGAGGATTGAGGGCTTTGGGGTTGGGGCTCAGGATTCGTGATTTGGGGTCTAGGTTAGGTCAATCCCCTGTAGTGGCAGCCCCTGAATATGAAGTCAATAGGGCCTTAAAAATATCTACAGCAATCCCTTTTGGTACCCACTACGTGGTGGGTTTAGGGTTTAGGCCTTGAAGGCTCGGGGAAGGGGGTTTGGATGGGGCCTAGAGTGTGTAAGGCAGGAAAGCCAAGTGGCAAAACTTTCTGAAATCAAAAAGATGCCTCCATGTTTTCAGGTTTGGGGATAGATGATCTTTTTTGGCTTGGTCGGGCTCAATCGCAGAACATTGGCAAAAGCTCAAGAAACTAAAGCCACCAAGATGTACCCCACAATCTCGTGGCCAACATGATGGGAGATGTTCAGATCCTCATTTTTCGCGGAGTATGGAGTGGATAAAGAGTCAGAAGAGATCGGAAGTGACCAGCTAAGCATATCCCCCATTCCCCACCCCCAGCCGATAATGCAGTTGGGCCAAGACTTTCGTTGCGAGAAGAAGGCCCAAAACATCCAGTTGGGCGAAATGAATCTTGGGGGGAGTGCGGGTATGTCCGATGGGCGGCGACTGCAGCTGCTTTACTCGCAGGATCTAACCCGCTCCCGTTTTACATTCCCCAACTCAAGCTATTTGCATTATGACCCTGCTGCATTTGAACTGGTTGAGGGTTTACGATTTATGTGGTCACATCCTGCCAATGTCCCTGTCATCCGAGGAGGAGGCAGATCGACTACATCGAGTTGGGACCCTAGACCTACTCCTGCTGCTTAGCCGGAAATGGGAGGATTCATCCTTGTAGCAGTCCTCATATCATCCCCATGAGCAACCAGGCGATGGTCCATGTAACCGAATCCTCCACTCCCAACTAAGCATGAGTAAGTAGATTGGCTTGTTGAGGGCCTTAGTGACAGCCTTAGTGCCTGGTATTTTATCGTGCGTAGCTGTTGTTTTGTTCGAGGGCGGGCGTTCGCCTTGCACTTTAGATGCATTATGTGCTTGCTCCATGGCAAAGCAGGTCGAGCAATACTTCAGGCAATATCGGGAGTATGTTGAATCAAAGCAAGTGGTAACTGTCTTGGTTTGAGTGGTGAGGCTGCTCGGCATGCAACCACAATTTTCCTGAGGGGCTTCATAAGAAAGATCCAAGCGTCTACTCTTAACTACTCATGGGCATTTGTTTGCCTTCTCCTTCTTCAGGGGGTCGACTTGTTGAGCCACTCTACGCCGAGATGCCCTCTATGATATACAGACCTGACTATACCAGCCTGAGTGATCTCTCCTGAGAGCACCCACTTCCTGTTGCTATTTCCTGCATTTTCTCAAGGCTAATGTAGACTCATGGCTATAAAAGCTAGAATCAACTACCCTGCTCTTCTTATTGGGCCCCACACCGCTACTAACGAATGGTCCCCAGCCGTACAGTTGACATTGTTGCTATGGGGGAACGGGAATATTGCCTACTACTGGAGTGTCAGTGCACTTCCAGTCGCCCGAAACATCCAAGCCACAGGTAAGGATAACAGAACCATGACGAACATACCAGAAAAACCAGGAAGAGCAGATTCTGTCAAAAACCAATAATCCTGAACCTCTCCCTAAACAACAGCAACCCTATACTCCTTAAACCCCTGAACCCTCAAATCCCAAGTTTCTGCCGCATCACAGCGCCAGGAACTCCGCCGACGCCAAAGTGCGGCGGCCAGAGGGGCCGAGGACGCTGGCAGCCACGTGCTTTGAAAGCTTGTATTAATACTACTATTCATACCTAATAATGCTAATACTACTATTGTAAATTTCCTGTGGGGCTACGGGTTCTAAGGCCTAGGGTTTGAGGCTTCGGGTTTAGGATATGGGTATTTCCAAACTTTGGATTGGACACCTGTTTTTGCTGCAACCTCCGTACACATAGACCAAGTACACATGCGTAATATGCTTTGTGTGTGGGATGCGCAGCGTTTCTTGGTACTACATGTAACACAACGCAAGACATTAGGAGGTGGCTGCTGGAACATTTCGGGTGTGTTCTCTAGTCTAGGTTCGGACTTGAGGCAAGAACCTCTGAATCATGGGCTCCTGGTTGGGCGTTTGAGGTATAATCCTTCCCCGAGCCAAGAAGTCTACCTTAGAGCACAGGGGAACTGGAGAGGAAAGGTTAATTTCGTGGGTTCCTTGTTTAGGATTGCGTTGCTGAGGCGTAGAGTTGAGGGGTAGCGTTGATTGTGGCAGGGTCTCCCGAGAGGTGTTCTTCGTGCTTCATGAAACCGGATTGGAGCACATAGTCCGACCTCAACCCAAAGCAGGGCTCTTACAGAACACATTGCAAGAGGCAAAAGTAATGCCACTTAGTGTCTCCCAACAGATGAAGGATTGCACCTTGTGAAACCGCCAGAATCAACACCCTAGACTCCTAAAACTCAGCAACTGAACCCTTAAACCATTAAGCCCATAAAATCCAATAACCCTTACTTGCAACAAAGCCAGGAGCTGTCGAGACTTAAGCTCCTGGTCGGCCTTGGCAGTGAGCGCCGGCGCTGCCACCGCCGCCTTGCGGCACAGCTTTGCAGGGTGTACTGTAGGGGAGCGGGGCTGGGGGCTGGGGGCGGGGGTATAGGGATATAAAGGGATATGAGGGCGTATGGTATTCTAGGGCGATATAGCAGTATATGGTAGAAATCCAAGGGTATGGGGTATACGTGTTTTGGGTTTGGGGTTGTCGGTTTTCGGATTTGGGTTTAGAGGTATGAGAGTGCAGGGCTTAGGGTTGGATAGATATGTATACCAACAATCCCTATCCCTTACAACCCCATAGCCTCCTATAAGCTGGAGATATCCCAACCGCCACACTCAGTGCCTATGATCACTCCCCTGTTTCTGGGAGTGCCACTCTAAAACCCCCTATGCCTCGAACAGTGGTAATCCACATGATAATCCATGTTGTCCCCTCTTCGATTTGTACATTTATTCCACCTTTGATTCTGTCCCCATTAACAGATGGGTAATATTATCTATAGTCTAATTGTATAGCGCCCTTAACATTACCCCTATGACAGACTGTTACTGGGTGGGGGTAGTATCCAATGCTAAACCCTAAACGCCAAACCCCTAAACCCCTGAATTCTATATACATCCCCAATGTCCTAAACCCCTAACTCCTAAATCAGTACCAATATTCCACCAGTTTTTTCTAAAAAATGTTTCTCTAAAAGCTAGCAGTCGCCAGCACGTGATAGGCTGTGACCTTGCGATTTGCTCACTTCGTCGCCTTCTGCGTGCAGTCGGAGAGGCCAAGTCGAAGCTCTGGGTTTGAGGGTTTGGGCTTTTGGGTTTGGGGTTTTGGGTTTGGGGTTCCAGGTTTGGGGTTTGGGGTTCAGGGTTTGTGGTTGGGGTTTGGAGTTTGGGGTTTGGGGTTTGGGGTTCCAGGTTTGGAGTTTGGGGTTCAGAGTTTATGGTTGGGCTTCCAGGTTTGGAGTTTGGGGTTCAGGGTTTGTGTTTGGGGTCTAGGGTTTGGGGTTCAGGATTTAGTTTATTAGGGTTGGGGTTCAGGGCGTGGAGTTTGGGGTTGAGGCTTAGGGGTTGGGGTTTGGAGGGTATCAAGGGATTATATGGGGGATATGTAGGGAGTATATACGGGCTATACGGGGGGGGTATATCGCGGATATACAGGGTTACATATTGGGGATATACAGGGAATATATAACTACATATATGAATAGATATGGTCACGCCCCGGCGGGCCCCCCTCCCCCCCCGTGGGATGGTCCCTATCTTCTAAGCTCTAAATCAAGATTAGACTATAAA